TAATCGGAATGGATAGTTGCATTATCTTTGGTGGTCATTCCAAGTTCATCCACTTGGTAAAATCTTGCTTCAAGGATTTAGTCCCTGGAGAGTTAACAGAGAAGAAATGGAAACAAAGTTAACTTCATGTCAACAGCAGAATAAATTTGACATAGAAACAATCTCTACTGTCATTTTTAAGGAGTTATTAAATGATATCTACGAATAAGCTTGAGGTACATGTTCTTTGCTGTTTAGTCTTCAAGTAATCCTGTGGAAATTTGATATGGTTAAAGCTGATCGAGTCAAAAAATTCTTCCATGTTAGTATACAAAATGTATTTCCAATAGCAGTGGCATCGACTGATGCATGATGTCTCCGAAGTTTGCTTCAGTTATTAAAATGCTTCCATTATCCAGTGCCTAGATATCAAAAGACAAAACTCAAGAGAGAAAGAGAAATCAAGATCAAGTTAACTGTCAATTAAAATTAAACGGTGATAATCAAAACAAACAAAAACCAAATGCAATGACAAATTTAAGCAAAAAGCCACTTACAACAATGCAAAACCCACTGGCTTGAAAACACAATTTAAAGATTGTCCAATAAGAATGATTACACTTCAAAAAGACGCATCGAAAACGAACATAATCAGCTAAAAAAGCGGAATACACGAACCACGGAATATAGCGTCGAGTATTACTGGAGAAAAAAAGGAATGAACAACAAGGGTCAATGAGTTTGAAAAAAATGCCTAAAACAGAACTCCATTCACCTTATTTGCAGTTTGTGTTGAGTCGTGTACAGTCCGCTTCCTCCATCGTCAGAATTGTACGTCTGCTCATTGGAGTTTATGATGAAAAATAAACTTGTTTCGCTGGTCGAAAGAAAGAATACAAAAATACGAAAGACACATAAAAAGAAACAACCTGCGAAACAATAATGAAGCACGAATAGTGGAAGCCAACAATACGCCGTGGTAAAGAAAGCACGGAAAGAAAAAAGAAACTCAAAGCCTTACCTTTCGTTATATAGGCCAAAAGTTTTGCTCAAACTGAAAGATTACTTATCTTATGCACTTCAGTGAGGCACATCTAAATGCTAAGTGACCAGTCATCTTCAGCTTCGTTCAACCATGACCTAAGAATA